AGGTTCAAGCCACGGCGGGGGCTCGACCGGGGTGGGGGGCTGAGCCGGAGGTGAGCACTGAGGACAGAGGGAGGGAGCTGGCCGGGGCAGGGCGTGGGTCACCATCACGGCGTGCTGTGCGGTGGAGCTGCCTTCGTTGCGTCTTTGGTTATACGGTGTTTGATTGAGCTGGTACTCCCTCAGGGCTGGCCATGCCAAGGCTTCGTAACGTGCCGGTGTCATTCACTCCCGTGACTTGCCACGAAAACGTGGGAAATCTCTGTGCTGTACAAAGTGGATTACAGCAATCAACAATATATTTATTTAAACTCTGCTTCTTATGGAAAGTTACTGAGTTAGTTATCATGTGTGAGGGCTGATTCATGCGTATATGGTAAACTGGTCTCTCTTGGCTCAGGAGAAAATCATACCTGAACAGAAAGGTAAGCTACAAGAAGACAAATAATTTCCACATGCAGTGCTTCAAAGTTGAGTTTCATTGTTAGTTTTGGCGGTGGAAAGACGTTCCCCTGTTACCAGAAACGTCAGCACTTGCCTTCCGGTCCTTTGCAGCACGTGAGGAGTGTCAGAGCAGTGATGTCACAGACAGCTGGAAGGAGCCACAGCTTTCCTGGCCCTCCTGCAGCTGGAGGAGATGAGAATGTTGCCTAATATGTTACATTGCCTTGTCATAAATGAGCAGTAAAGGAATAAATCACCTTTAAGCTTTGAACTACCTTTGCACTTCCCTGATTTTTTTCCTCCTTTGGCTGTTCTCCCTTGACGGTCTTTACTGTATATAAGAGAAGCTTGTGGGCTCTTTTAATAATAGCTGCCATTATTGTGGCGATCGTTGTTAAAGCTGGGGATTGCTGGGTTGCGAGGGACTTCCTCGTACGCCCCTTCCCTCATCCCTCCCCAAACTACTTCACCACATGGGCTGCTCCCTTATTTTGTCTGTACACTTCACTTTGGCACTTCAGTGCTGGAAAACCCCCAAAGAGCCCAGGGATGTTCTGAGAAGTGGCAGGAAAGCTCCAAAACTGGCTTCAGAACTGCTTTGTGCTGGCAAAGCAGCTTTAGCACAACCAAAACTATCATAGCTGAGGCATACCAGACCCTGGTTTAGAAGAAGAGTGATGTATGGGTTAGGGATGCCAAACTGGAACAGAAGAGACACAGATTCTCTTTTCTCCCCTTTGTACTTCAGCTCTTCATTTACGAAATCCCTTAATCCGAGCACAGATTAGGATGCTAGAGAGGGGACATGCAGTGGCTGCTGAAGATGGCAACACAGGGCTGCGGAGAAGCCCTTTCTCTTGCAGATCCCTGCTGAACTACCTGACAACATCACTGATGTTGAACAGCTAAATACTGAAAAACAGTTCTACAGATGGAAAGCTCATTCTGCAACAAACGCTGATGATGTCTCTACGTGTGGGAAGAAGTGGTGAAAATACCAGAAAAATATGCCTTTCAAACTGGCCCTTCTGTTTCCAAGTGCTCGAGGTTCCCACTACTTTGTCATAGCATGAGTAACAGGACTTTTTTTTTTTCCCTAATTAGAGTTATTTGATTTTTTTCTAGATTGCTATTAGTGTGGAAAGAGAAGGCAGAAAAGTCAGAGAAATAGAAGACTTGTTTTTCCTGGGTAGAGAGAATTCTATCCACTTTTACTAGACGAGAAAACTCCAACTTGTTGATACTGGCCATTTCACTGACATTTCTTCATACCAAGTCATAAGCTTTGCTTTAAAACCTCAAATAATCTCTTTCAAAGCCTCAGAGAATTTAGAAGGAGATAGGAAAATTATGGCTCTATTTGTTTTATATCCTTTTGATTACAACACACCCTTTCGTAGTGTCAGTCTAGCTTGGGTTTCAGTCCTGTTATGACTTCCATTGTGATAAGTATCCTGGATTCATATGAAGCCCAAATACATATTTCATTTAGACTTTTGTTCTGCTCATTACATCATTTATTGTTTTAACACTTTATTAGTAGTTAGTAACTCATTGTAATTTATTGTTGAGTTTACAAAAAGGGTGTAACTCACTTGAAAACTGTTCGGAGTGTTTTACAACAAACATGGTCTATCTTCTGGGGAGCCACAAGCATGTACAGTGCAATAAAGGCAAGAACAAAGCAGTAGAGGAACTCATGATGGAAATAAAGGTGAGTAATCATAAGGGCTTGCAGGTTTAGTTGATATGAAGGCATATCGATATGTTACTTGCCAAAATTATTTTTCTTTCATTATTCCCAGAAAGTAAATGTTGTTTATGGAATTCATTATTGGTTAAGATGACTTTCATCTTTAAATTGTGGGTAATAGTTCTTTCAGCCATGTTATCCTGCCATTGTGCATTTCAAATGTGGTTGATTTGAATGTGCAGGAAGCCATGCAGCAGCAGTGGCATGAACTTGGTCTTATTGAAAGCCTAGGCAGCAATGCCAAAGACGAATGGTCTGAAGGCATGATGCAAAACCCAGTAGAGTATGTGGAAAGGCAGGTACTGGTTTCACTAAACATGAAAATAAGTAATTTTCTGCTCTTTCCCAAGAACTTCCCTGGTTTGGCTCAAAGCATGCAGGAGGAGCAATGTTATACTGCTCTTGTTCATGCTGTATATTTTAAATGGATAAACAGAGAGAGGTTCTCATTCTAGAGCTACTAAGATGGTACTTTTCATAAGTTTTAAGTCAAAACTTAATCAGAAAAAAAGAAAACAAACCTATTTCTCCTACTTGTATATGTGATTTTTTTTCTGCACCTGAGGAGGAATCTATTACGCTTAGATAATGCATATAGTCAAATTCAACAAAACTAAGGCTTTTGCTAACATCAGAACGTATTGAAACCTAAAAGGCATCAGAAAAAACTCAAAGAAGGGAATTAAGTACTGAATTATTGGCTCAAGTGCTCCAAGACTGAATGGTTAAAATACTGGACTCAGACCTGAGAAACCTGATTATGTTCTCAGCAGCAGCTGACCCCTGTTTTCGTTTCTTGTGCACTAGAAGCACCTTGTTGATAGGTAACAATGCAATATCCTACCCAATGCATTAGTCAATCAACCAGCCGTCTTCTAAGTAACAGAAAAAGGCAAGCATGTCTTCATGTTCCTGATGTCAGATTTTACATCATAGCGACCAAGCTGCATTAGCACACTTTTTTTTGTATACAGCAGACATGGGTTCTGTATTTATGTTCAATTTCTGATTCCATCTAATAGGTTAATCTACTGTAGCATCTAATAAATGAGACCCATTAAGAGAATAATTCTTCAGCTGCCTGTATCCCCTGGATAACCTAGCTTTAAAGCCGGTGAAGGAAGTAACAGTGATATAAGTAGGGTTAGGGCACAGACAAAACACATAGTGACTGATTATGCTGTAAGCAAGGTACAATCTGGACTAAGATCCCCTCTTCTGGGGTGAGCAGAGGCTTGAAAGTTAGTATGACCTCTCCTGTCAGTATGGAGGGAGACAAAACTACTCGTCACAGAAATCTCCTTCCCCTCAGACAGTAAATCATAGAATCATAGAATCATAGAATCATTGAGGTTGGAAAAGCCCTCTAAGATCATCGAGTCCAACCGCCAACCCAACACCACCGTGCCCACTAAACCATGTCCCTAAGCGCCTCATCTACACGTCTTTTAAATACCTCCAGGGATGGGGTCCCCACCACTCCCCTGGGCAGCCTGTTCCAATGTTTCACCACTCTTTCAGTAAAGAAATTTTTCCTTACATCCAATCTAAACCTCCCCTGGCGCAACTTGAGGCCATTTCCTCTCGTCCTATCGCTAGTTACGTGGGACAAGAGACCGACACCCACCTCGCTACAACCTCCTTTCAGGTAGTTGTAGAGAGCGATGAGGTCTCCCCGCAGCCTCCTTTTCTCCAGGCTAAACAACCCCAGTTCCCTCAGCCGCTCCTCAGAAGACTTGTTCTCCAGACCCCTCACCAGCCTCGTTGCCCTTCTCTGGACACGCTCCAGCACCTCAACGTCCTTCTTGTAGTGAGGGGCCCAAAACTGAACACAGTATTCGAGGTGCAGCCTCACCAG